CAGGCAGCTCAAATAAATCCAGCCAGTAAGTTTAAAGGGGGAGATTTTCCACCAATGAATGGCAACAGATCATGATATGCAATGGCCTCAGATATGTGATGATATAGCATTATAAACACAGCCACATAAGTGGAATCAGCAAACATGAACAAATATGAGTTGAAAGGTTAAAACTACACAGAAGAAACCTCAGCACTCACGCTTTCACCAGCGGATACTGTGCTTATCAGTGTAGTACAGTACCACCAAATAGGTAAGCCTCGATACAAAGCACAATACGCATGTATACAACTCACCATTTAAACTAAAGTTTGGCTGTGATGGAATGAAAGTATAAAACATTTATAAGATTTTCTTAGACCATGATAAGCACTTTTCTGGATTAAGTCCTCAGGGCATTCTTTCCCAAAGGATAAAGCACATAGGACAGGTTTTCAAAAAAAAAAAAAAAAAAAAAAAAAAAAAAAAAAAAAAAAAAAAATCAATGTGTGTGACTAGCAGTTGCTAGCATTTTTTGTGTTGTAGTTCACCTCTCTTCCAAAATTTATTATATAAAACGGTTGTCATTAAAGCATCACAATCTACCACAATGGAAATATTGTGGTACTTTCTCATTCTTGGAGTACGCTCCCTGCAACAAGAGCACTACAGAGCACAGATTGTCTCTTTAGGTGCATAAGGATGACAGTGAGGTACAGGAATGCTTACGCTAACTCTGAGCGAGCATCTTCTTAGATGGGTAAATTAGTCCAGAAAAAGTGCCATTCAAATGTGGTTATATCTAAACTAGATCCGATATCCACATTGCATTGCACAATGCAGCAGACATATTATTCAATATTTGCTTGTTCAGCAGCTAACACAAAGAAGCCTAAGCCTCCAGTTGCAACGACCAGGCAAATGACAAATTGCAACACCACTTCAGAAATAAGGATACAGCAGTTTTGTTGCATGGCACATGCTTGAATAAACAACAACAACAAAAATCAACAAAAAACCCCCACATTATCGCATTATCTGAGGCCAGGCCACTCATTTTAAGTGGTATTTAAAGTAATAAGTATGTATTTTTTCACTGCACAGTTCAACCATATTCTGTCTAATAGGGCACAGACCTCACATGTAGCCTTCAGTTAGGTACAGCCCTATATGTTGCCAAGCTCTGCAAGGATTAAAAGAAGATGGAGAGAAGGATAGGATCCTACCAGGAAGGGTCCTAGATGGCAGTGGCATTGGTCTGCACTTATAAGTTGTACCCCTAAAAGTGCAGTAATACTTGCTTCTGTTTAAATCCTGACAGTTTATGTAATAAAGAGACCCCTTCTGTTCAGAGAGGACTTCTGCAGAACAGCATAGAAGATAAGATTTACCCCTTGACAAGTTTTGGAGATAGACTGCTTCTTTTGTTTCTAACAGATATCTTACTGGCAATAACAACGGCGTTTCAAAGCACTCATCTTGAACTGACGGTATAATAGTAAAGATCCCCATCCATGGGCACAAACATCTGCTTGCAAACATAGAAACCCACTTTCTGCTTATATGTGGTGCTTTGCACAACAGATATGCAACACTGGAGAAACCTCTCTGGAAATAAAGTCATCAACAAATATACCAAGGGTTAATCCTCCTCCAGTTTAGTCTTCGGGCACATTCCGACAAACTTCCTATCCTTGCTCAACAGCATTCACTATGCTCAATTAATTGTCTTATTCACTCTCTGTCTTAAAAAACAAACAAACAAAAAGACAAAATAAAAAACATCTACATGCCTACATGTAGATTAGAAGTGATATGCAGGGCTTTATCCTATATTTCTTGCTGTCTCAGCCTATGTTCCTAGCATTTCATTCATTCACTAAGTAGGTTTAGAGTCTGTTAATAAGCTGGTCAAACTGCCAAGGAAAACCTTGTTGCTGCAGGAAGTAGTGCTGATGATTCATTAGGCAGCATTCTTTCCTTCAAGCAGGTCTGAGTGACAGGGCTGCAGAAGTTTGCTATTTTCCAGATGAAATCCAAGTTTAAAGAAGATTCATTCCCAAGGCCCTTCTAGCATGCCTCAGAGTGTTAATCTCAGTGTTTTGGCCAAACTCCAGTCTGGATGATTACACTGTGCCTGCTGAAATTCTCCCTGTAGTTTCAATTGAGTAACACATTCCTCCAGCTCCTAACAACTGCTGTGTAATTTTGTTCATACATTTTACTTAGAGTGGGTACATTTCATTATCTCTGTGTTTCAGGATAGCAAATACTTGGAGAAGTCCGGGCTGACCACAGAAGTTGAAGAAAATTTCAAAATGCTACTTTAATGGCTGAATATGCAGCACTTCTTCAATGGGCCTCCACATTTATTCAGGCTGTGGTTACATGTTTGGTTACAATACTGCTTAGCCCTATTTAAGAAATCTGCAGTCACCAAACACTACCAGACCTTCATTGCTGCCCAACAGCTGCATTGGGCCACACTGCTGTGCTACATGGTGAAGGAGATCAGGGAATATATGTGGTCAAAAAACATGATGTTTTCTCTTCTGTAGATTGTTAGATGGGCAAGGACGACCCAGCCAACAATTGTGCTGCCACAACATAGGGACAATACGGAGCCGATTGGATAGAGAATGCTTAGGTCAGCCTTGCTACCGAAAAAACATCATGCAACTTAGCTCTGAGTAGACTAGTTAGTGCCAGGCAAGGTTGGTGCTGTAATGAAGACATCTGTGAGAGGCAGTAGTCTTGTAGAAAGGACAAAATCTGATCACCTAATTAACAGCAAAACATTCACTATTTTAACTTTTCTAGCTGTAGCCTTCCACATGCTGGTTTTAAAGATAAAAATACATAAACTCAGTCAATCAGTTACTTTTGCTCTGATTGGAAGCAGGTAAAGTCTTTCCTTGCTCTATCACTGGAACAGTGACGAGGGTAAGCTGTTTTCTCACTTCACGCTACCAGATTCCTTACCCCATACTCTGTTCTAGAGAAAACATCCAACCTAGAAGGTTCATAATTAAACTCATGACGGTATGGATGATTGCAACATTACAGGATTTGAACAGATAATCCAGAAAGTCTCTCTGGTCTTGTGTTTGAAAGCAGAAATCTTTAGTTCTCTACTTCCCTGACCAGGTTGCCAGACAATTGTTGTGTTACTGGGTACCAAGAGAATCACAGTGGCTGGCGTGACGAGAGCTGTCATGCACTGGGTGGAGAACACATTTCATACAGACCTCTGAGCTGTTACAAGGTGTCAGAAAGGAAAGAATCAGGAGCAATTGGTCTTCTTCCCCAAACCGTTTTCTTTCTTATACTCTGTATAAAACGCTGCTACCGAACCAGCAATAAAATACCTTATCCCCGAAAAAGCCACTTTTGTCTGCCAGGTAACTAGCTAGCACTCGTTGCCATTTCAGACCCGGATTAAATTCAGACCAATAACCACAATAAAAAACGAGAGCGAGCACACACAAAACCCACATGAATATCTTGGTTGTCTGTATCAAGTCAGTGGCTTGTAGTTCAACACAACAAACACATTAGCATTTTCATTTGCAAATCATCATATGGTTTGGGCCTTTGGGCCCCGATTACCTAAAAGACAAATGCTTTTTTTAACAATAGATGTCCACAAATACAAGGTCTAGTTCAAACACAATCTGTTATGTGGGACTTCATGACAAGCATAATAAACTGGCATTCATTTCAGTAACTACACTTAGAATTTTATAGCAGCAGAAGTTATCCAGTCTGCAATACTAGAGCTTCTTAGATCACCTACAGATGAATTTATCACATCTTCCATGCAGTAGCACACTGACTTGGAGCATTGTATTAGATTTTTATAAGATAAAGCACATTGGCCTCTTTTTCAGTTAGATTTAAATGTTAAATGGTTGCAAGAATTCATCCTGTACTCATTCCTTTTCAGTTCAAGACAAATTATCCAAATTGATCATACCACAAACACACCCATTAAAAGAGTTCAACATTTATGATGCATCATGTCAGGCAAGGTCATGATTTAATGCGAGTTGATACATCATAAATTAAGAAGCCAAGGAAACAAACTCCTGAAGGCCAAGGAAAGCATATATTAAAGAAATAGTCTGTAGTGATCTATGCACAAAATACATTACTTGTCCAACAGGCTATGTGTATATAAATATAATTCTAAACTAGAAGTACATATGTTGGTGCTTTAAGAAAGGAGAATTTCCAAAGCTGAAAACAGCTATGAGTAAAATTGTTTGGGAAAGGAAAAACAGATATATAATGATGTTATAACCGGAAAGTATTTGATTATGCAGCACTGGGCTTTTCAAACCACACAATTCTGTAATCTTGCAGGAAATCTACTTCAGTTAAAATTATTCTGGCTAAGAAAAGTGTAAAAGTAACATTTTAAGAAATATTAGAAATGGGGGAAGGGACAGGAAAGGAAGTGAGGAAATCAAACACTAGTGCAAGCATGGTATTTCAATATTACGTAGGACACAACAGCGGAATACACTGTAATCGAAAGCAGTGGGAAAAGTTTCCCAGTCAGAGCGCAGAAAAGGTAGAAGTCTGAATGTAAATTTGTTTTCTTGTTTGTTTTTAGGAGAGGCAGCAATATAGTAACACCTTATAGAATAAGGTAATATTTTCCATTTTCTTTTCTAGCTAGAAAGTGGGTTAATAAGTACTAATTAGAAGTCAATATTTAAAAAATTGAGGCAGTGCATAAGATTCACCAAGAGCTTTCAAGAATTGGCTAAAAAAATTATATGGACTAACATTGTCTTAGTAAGTTTTGGTGCACTAGGGAAAAATCAGTGTTTGGAAAAAAAAAGTAAACCTGGAATAAAAAACAAAACATTAAAAAGAATCTGGAGATCATATTAAACAATAGTAGGCCATAATAGAGATATTTCCTATTCAGCTGTGTGTCTCAGATTATAAATGTAAATTCTTAATGTAAAAGGAGGAGGAAGAGAAGACTGGAGGATGGAAGGTGACATTACTTTTGTTTTGGCAGGCCATTACCAGGATAGTCTGCTAAATCCACTTCAGAAGTAGGCTGATCAATCTGAAAGGGTTCAGAAAACAGTCATAAAAATGACTTAAGATCTGGAAAACAAATTCAGGCAGTCCAATGCAGATTTTAAACAGCAAGGATTGTTAACTAATAAATAACCATAATCTCTGTGATGCAAATGCACCCTTGCATCTTACAGCAACTCAGATTGCAAGCCTTTCCCTAAATTAGTATAAAGTTAATGACTGGCACAGAAGACACTTCTATAACGCGCTGAATATGAGTGGACCACCCTAGACAGCCAGCTAGAACACTCAGGGCGGGAAGGGATATATGTTGCTTAAGACAGATACAGGATCTTGCTTATGTCCCTCAGATAGGGATGAAATTCAGTCATAGCATTACTTGCATTTCCACAAATAATACCACCAATGACATCAGCATTTTTCACAGAATGAGGTTATTACACAGGAATCCTGTCCTTATTCTGGTTTCATTACGGTTTTGGCTGGCGGAAGGGGGGAATGTGAGAGAGGAGTTGAGTATGCAACGTTTGTGTGTTAACTATCTCATGTCAATTCTATGCATGTGTGTGGGTTAAACATCTACATACACACAATCTATATAAAGCAAACTGTTTTCTCATGTACATGCACCACGTTAAAATGTGAAAGCGTAGCCTACATAATAGAGGTTATGGTCTACTTTATTTTTAGCCATAAGATGAGTTCTCTTCGAAAAAAAAGCCTCTGCAAAATTATATAGTGAAACATATGCTATTACTAAAATGCATTTTTGTATAAACATATGTTTTCGCTCACTGAGGTCTAAGAGCTTCTCTTCAAACATTAAACAGAAATAAATGTGAGTAAATTTGGGGATATTTTAAGAACATATGCTTATATGCTAAGTGTATTTATGTGGGAAATCATTCAGAAAATTCAGAGTATTTGAATTTCAACATCAATGTTTGGAAATTTATAGGTAAGAAATTATTCACTTCAGAAAGAACGTGATAGTCTCACATGATCCTCTCTGTTTCCTTTCTGAATCATTTCCAAATCACACAAATTGATCAAGAAAACAGAATTTTGGAGGGGGGGGAGTATCAATTACATAAGAAATGCATAAAAATTTCCTAATTTCCTCCCCTTCATTTTTTCCTCCAGGCAGGTGGGAACTAAAGAGACTTCTATTATTTAATCTGCTGTGCATGAAGTTCTAGAAAGTGAAACTTTTACCTTTTTCTGCCTAACTATTGGCCACCTCAGAGCTCTGTTGAGTTAGGTTACAGTGTGGAACACCCATTTCTCAGGAAACTCCCATTCTTCCCTCAAAAGGGGCCACTCACTGAAAATCCCTTCACAGACTGCTACAAAAGCTTTTCTGCTATTCTTCTTCACAATAATATATATTTTACCCTTCTGAGATGAAAAGACGAAGGGGCTCAAGCTAAGAAAAGTTGACCAGGAGGCTGGTGACAGCAGTCACTTGAGATCCTTTCAGAGATGCTCTCAAGCATAAATATTTAATCTCCTTCGTTCCCCCTAGTGTGAATAATTTTTTTCCCCTTCAAGTATCAAAACAAAGTTATTGAAATGCATATAACCCTGATATTTGATCCATGGCCTCTAAGGGTCAAATACACACTGACCACGCTCTTAAAGCCTGCAGAACTTTCAGGTGGTCACTTTGCACACACCAACTCATCAATCAAGCAATAATCAGCAGGACAAATGGGGGAAGATGCTGGTACAGACTACTTAAAAGGCCTGGACAGCTGGTCCACTTCAAGAGTCTCCTTTATATGTTTCAGCTTTTAGCCTTCCATGTTTTAAAGGGAATTAAATACACTTGTTAGTTCCAATAGTTTATCCCCACATCTATTTGCATTAGCAAACAAAACCGTTCGTTCTTGCTTCAGCATCCCTGCTCTAACATTAAGATCACTTCTCCTCAATTAAAAAGTATCCTAAAAACAAAAGAAAACTACAATTGCTAAATTAAGGCATTTTATATGTCCCATGCCCCTGTCCAAATCCTGTCTTTGTCATAACTGATTTAGTAGAAGCTTAGGACAGAGGATGACACATTCGTCCTAAGTAATTTGCCAACCACAGAAACAGATGATGACAAAGCTCAGTGAGTTCCCCTCCAAAATTAAAACATAGACATATACACATATCTTGAACTGGGCTAGTATTTATTTGCTTTGGCTCTTGGTCGTTAATGTTGGTGATTAAGCTAGTAGCAATTCTGATATGTTGATCACATCTGCTTATCAAGTAATACATAGTGATTATTCCTAGCCTTGCAATAGAATAGGATGAATTGGTTGGCAGCACAAAGTATGAAATCATTCTGCTTCTCACCAAGGAACAAGCAAAATTGACAACCTCCTCCACTCCCAGTATGTCATAATTAGAAATTAGAGCTGCATCAAACTGTTCACTACAGCTGTAAACTCTGGCAAAAGAAAAAACCCTTAAAAACTATCTGTCATTTTCTTAATAGGCTTCCTATTTACTCTGAGCATACTGAAATTAGGGATGGGGCTTTGGAGCAGACAGACAGCATGATATTTGCAAGACTTTCTGGAGGTTAAAAAGCTGCTTTAAAGTGTCTCTCTTTCTCTCCTCTTACCATATTTAAGAGTGAAGTTCTAAAAGGCTTTGAGTTCTCAGAACATTGGAATGAAAACACAGTGGATTCTTCTGTTTGTAATGCTAAAAGCGCACAATGAAAAAGCAGCAGAAAAATGCAATATGATATGCCCTGGAAGAGCAGGAAAAAAGGATTTTGTTCCAAGAAATCTGTCTCCGAGTGCTTTCCTTCTGAATGCCTGAATGAATGAAAGTTAACAGATACTATATTGAATAAAAAATAACAATCTGAAAATGAAAAAAAATTCAGGAGGCTGCCAGCCAAGCTTCTTCAGTTACCACTAGGATCAATACAGAAAGAATCTGCATAGAAAACAGCATGGTCTGAACTCCGCCCGCTTTTTAAAAGTATCTAATTTGTGGGTTTAGCCCTCTTTAGATTTTTCTTTATAGTCAGAGCACAGAGACAGACACTGCCATGGCGTGACCGGGAACACTGATCGGATGAACTGCTCTGGGGAGGTACCAATCTTTTCGCACTGAGTGTATGAAGGACTTCAGGGAAACGTGTGCCCACTTCTGGCAAATGGAGGCGGTGAGATTACTACGTCCTTGTGAGATTGCCAAAAAGACCTTGAAACACATGGGTCTCATCTTACCTTAGTAACTTAAACAGCAGCAAGAGAGATTCCCAGGTATTAGATCTTAGTTATGCATACTATTCCTTTCTTAGGACAGTCCCTATCAAGCTTCTGGCCTAGGTTAACACACATTCACTCAAAAAACTCTTAGATATGGTTTGAGAATTTACTTGGGCTAGGAACCATTCCCAATAGGCAGACTGCATGTGCCTAACCTGCTCTGAAAACAAAGCAAGTTTAATAATATGGACATAAGTTGGTCTGGGACTCTCATCCTGAGCATCAGAGAATAAACCCGGGCTCATTTAAATTACTAGCATACATGTAGTCATGGCATCCAAATATGGCCCCATCAATCATTCAGAACAAGCAATAAATACTTTTATGTCACTGTTTAAGGGCTGGGTTGGGTTTTGCGTTGCTTTTTTAAAGCTCAGAGAGGCAGGTAGGGAAATCTTGCCCTCCCAAATTTTTTGTCTACAGATCCATTGCAAGTATCCATTGCAACCTTTCCTTTAAGGTAAGTGACCTAATAATAGGCTACAGGGATCTTATTTGCTGTTTATGAAACAAAAGTACTTTTTAATACTTAACTGAAATACTTTAACTCAACTGAATACTCAGCTGAAATATTTCTGTTGATTAGGAGAACTGTTCTGGTTAGCCATCCAAGCGCAAGAAAGAATAACTTGTAACACCAGTAATACAGCCACGGTAATATAACAATTGAAGTAAGTTTGTTAGGGAGTGATTTCCTATAGCCTGTAAGATTCAGTTGGATTAATGAATATGTAAAGTAGATAAGGTATGAAATGTGTGAAGAGAATAGGTCATTAAAGTTTTCCCCAGGGCAAATATTTATTTCTTTTGTCATCAAGCTGTCATGTTCTGCTAAGCCTTATGAAAGTCAAACAAGACAAACTGAAGTGCTCACAGAACCTTAAATTTAGTAATAAAGGGTATTTACCTATGCCCGACTTTCCCCTGAAAGTAACTGAAATATGCTAACAACCAGTAAAGGTAGCCGGGCCCTGTCTCACCTTGTTGAACAGGATGGCTAAGACTTTGCTGAGCCAGGGCATGAAGTGACCAGGAATCTGACCACCTGTCATGAGATTACGGTCACGTAAAGCAATTTTGTCACAGTTTAACTAGCCCTTTCTGGCCAAGGAAGGGGGAAAACAGTTTATAACTTGCACTGAGACTCTCTCACATGAGGATTTAGCGAATTTTTATGGGGAGGTTAGTCAGAAGTATTTTGAACTAGAACACAGCAAAAAAGGGAATCCTCTCAGGTGGTCTGTAGAAAGGATTCAACCCCTATATGGCAATCCCAAGAACTGCCCCTTCTGTGTATCACTAACAGTCCACTTCTTGTGTGTGCCCATTAGCCCATGACCCCTCAAAAGAAGAATATGCTAAAGAAAAATATTCTGCCATAACAACTAGATATAACAAGGGATCTTACACACACAGGATGAGGTGGCAGGAGTACTAAATTAGCATCATCATCGAGCTGTTTGTAATGCAAGTGCACAACCCAGGGGCCCAGCTTTGGAAATGGGCACACAACCAAATAGAAAGGGGTTGGTGGGGGGAGCCCTCTTCTGTCACTTCTATCATGGATCCTCAGCAACTTCTCTGCTGCTGGCCAACTAGAAAATCAAGAATCCAACACCTGTGATATATGAGGTAAAGCTTTACCTGTGCCACTGTTTTGCAAGACACAGAGCATGCCAACTGCCAGTAGCTTTACTTCAGGTGAGCTAGGAAAAGGCATTAAGAGGAGATGATTTAAAGCACAATGAACCAGATGGGAAATACTCAGGATTGTGTTACTGGGCATTAGCCATGCTACACAAAAAATGTCAGTAGGTTATTTGGGCTGAATTTCTGGTGCAAATCTCTCAGGAAACAGAGCTTGTCCTCCAGACTTATTTTTACCAGACTTTTCATCACTGTACTCAATGCTGAGAAGCACCTAAATGCTTACCCTTGTCAAAATTAAGCATCCTTCTTGTGATAACAAAGTTAACTGTGGGAGGGCAGATTCCCTTATGATACTTCATTTGCCCTATTCTGTTTTTGAAGAGTATAATGGATCCCTGAACACAGGGCAGGTGGGGGAAGCAGTAAGTAATTTTCTTAAAGAAGCATCAAAATCCTTAACTTTAAGCCCTGCAAAGTAGCATAGTTCTAGGTCTTATTTGCACAGGTACCATTTTAGCTTAGGGGCTGGAACATAATTCATAACCATAAATATCAATAACAACACTGCTGTGCCAGTTGCACCAAATTAAATTTAAGAGTAGGTTTAGTCCTTATTTTCCACAATAGAAGCCATCCATTTTATAAGCCTTCCTCCACCTTCCACTAGTAACTCACACAGTAACATAGTTTAGTAATATCTGACTCATGTTCGGCTTCAAATCCCTCACCTGCTTTTTTTTTTTTTTTTTTAAAAGCTGTCTCTGGAAAGTTTAGTTTTGAGATTTTCAGTGACGCAAGGTGAAATTTGTGGTTTATCCAGAGGACACAAGTATTAAGCACACCACTGATGGGTTTTTTTTTTTCCAAATGACTTTCCAGAAACATGCATTTTTTTTCCCCCCCTCGTATGTTTTACTGCTCCCACCTTCGTTGTCTTTATGGACACAGAAACACGCTCTGGTGTCAAAAATACCATTTGGACGACATTTCCTATTAGGCTTTTGTTCCCTCTCGTCCCCACCTCCCAGACTCCAGTAAAATACACTTCAGTGTTTGGGATTTCCTATTCATCCTGATTAAAACAAAGCCAGTAAAGTTTCCCCCATCAAACCGTGTGCCTGTTTTGAAGAGGCAGCAGCCACCGGCTCTGGTTTTGTTGCGGATGAAAAGAGGGCATCGCAGCTGTAAGGCAGCACAGACGTGTGAAATGGGTTTCACACGCTGCTCAGCTACCAGTGGGGTGGCCATGTATGATTCAGTCTGTGTTAAGTCAAGAAAAGGAAAAGCCTTCAAAGCCACGCCAGCCATCACCTCTTACAAACCCTAAGTACCCCTTTTGACTGCCATTGCTTTGCTGAAAATAACACATTTAGTCATTTGTCATAATTATAAGAGTCCCAATGACATGGAATGCAGGCACGCCTTTTAATGCTGCCAAGTCTGTTATAATACAGCCAGCAGGGGACTGCTGCTGCGAGCAAATCACAACTGCAGTGCCAGTTAAATTCCAGCCGAAAGGTCATATGTGACCTTTGTGAGCAGTTCATCGCAGATGATTGATCTGCTAGCAACAAAACTAATAATTACACAGCTCTTCATTTCCATTCATCTTAGTAACATGAAATTTATCCCAGTGTGAAGGATCCAGGTCATGTAGGAGTAAATTGGTGAACCATAAACCTACTAAAACCCCACAGGTGCAGCTCAAGCCTTCTTTGCTCCACCTCCCTTTAACTTCTTGCTCTCTGCAGGTACTTCCCAAAGACAAACGATCAACCTATTCCTCTGAGCTCATCCATTATTTTAATATCTCCATCTTGTGTTTTTTAAGCATAATCTGCAAAACTCAACAAATCTTAGCCCTGTTTTCCCTCTTCAGCCGTTGTCAGTGGTGCACTTGTTAGCCTTCTAGCATGTTTCTGTGATACACAAACCTCTAATTTTATTAGAAATATTCATTTAAACATCTTTTCAAGATGAACAGCATATATGCATTTTTTCTCCTCTCAGCTACCTAAACTCCTCAAGATGTTTTTGTGAAACAAACATTGCTTTCTAACACACGGAAAAGACCTTCTGCCCCACAAATGAATTCAGAACTCTTCAGAAGTGCGAATGCAGAACTCCTGCAGGGATTTCTGTATTTGCCAGAAAACCTCAGCAGGAAAACATATGCCCCATCCTTGCACCACTTAAACATGGACATTTCAGGGTGATAGAAGGTAATACGCTAAACTGAGGGAGGAGTGAAGAAAAATCATGTAATTTGGAGTTATCCCTGGTAACTTTTTTTCCTCCAGTAGGCAAACAAGGATGTATCAAAGGTTTTGCTTGCAAATGGAATATCATTGAACATCTTGAAGATGGGCTGATGGGGCATTAGGGGAGGGAATTTTCTCAAAGCCTGTGAAAGTTTTGCCTGGGAAAATTTGTGTGCGTGTGTGTGCACGCGTGTGTGTATATACGTACACATATAAGTGTCCTACATCACCTAGATCCTTCACACTGGGATAAATTTCATGTTACTAAGATGACATACATGTACACATACATGTATATATACACCCACAGATATACATACATATACACACACACATGAAGTCAGCTAAGCAAGGACTTCAAGACATGGTCACCCCACATTGAAATGCTTCAAGGCCTGACCGCAGTTTAGCTGGTGTTCCTGAGCCTCTCAAGCTAATGTAATAGTTGGCTACCAATGTCCCCCCAGTCACCAAGCCATTGGAAGATGATGTACATCTGAATTAAGGAAGAAAGTGGCTTTAACAACCACTTTCTTTGTGCTGCTGGGATGCAACTTGCACGTGCCTTGACATGCCTTATAGAGTGCCAAAGGTGGTCTGAACAACTGTACGCTTTTGACAGCCTAACACTTTTTATGAACCACCTCCGAATTTACTACTAAAACCTCAAGACAAGCCATTTATCAATAAGTTAGAAATCAGAACATTTGAATCTTTTTTTATTTACTAAGGAAGGAGAATGCTCTGGTATTTGCTTTGTTACTCTAAAAGAGAGTTTTCCAATTCTATTTACAACTCTGAAAGTAATGAAATTTTGTCAGTAATAATCTAATACCGAGCAGGACCTTCCTCTAAATAACTCAGTAAAATTATGTTACTTGCTCTAAGCAGGACCTTGTTTCACAAGCAGACAGTTTAAATTAGAAATTATATTACCAAAATTTGATGGCTAAATCTTGGTGGCTTTACTCAAGTTTTATTTTGCCCCCCGCTTTTATTTTTTGTCCAAACTGCTGTTGAATTCACAGGTAGCATCCATAAAACGGCTGAGGTCAGGACCTCAAGATTTTGCCAAATGCTAGAAATATCTCATCAGATGTTATGAGATGAGCAGCACTCCAGTGAGAAGAAACATGCAAAGACCACAGAACGAGCTCCGTCTTCCTTCAGTGCAGCAGAAACGTGCTGTAAAGGTCTGCTCAGACTTTCAAAGCATACGCCTTTACCCCCTCAACTTTTTTTTCCTGTTTTGCTAGTCGCATGGCTTTCTTTTAGCTCATCCATAGTGAGTAAAACTTACTTTTAATTAGAAAGAGGTCCCGTGCTCTACTTTTACGGCAAGGAAAACAACCAATCCTCCCTCCCCCCAGCAAAAAACAATAGTGCAGGAACCCAGTCCCTGGCAGCTGCTGCTAACTTTAAGCACCGTATATAAGGTATTAAACCACCCACTTTATGTTCTAATAACATTAACAGTCTCTCATGAACCAGGACATTCAGAGTTAAAGCTGAAATTCTCTCCTTAAGTCACCACATTGTGTCTAGGTACAGTATTGCAGCACTTAATCAGGGGGCCTCAGAGCAGTGGGGGGTTCATACCATATGTGCTATAATACCTAAGCACAGCGGGGTGAGCTAAGGACAGAGTTTTAGACTTAACTTTGAATTTCTTAGTTTCTGCTAGTCCCATGCTTAATGTTTTTGAATATATTGCATTGTGTGTGTCTGGAGGGTTACTTTCCTCTTTAAAAAAAGAGAAAAAAAGTCTTTGGGGATGAAGGAGAAAAGAGTACAGTTTCTCATGAAAAGATGAAAGTAGGTATCTAATGCCAACCACCTATAGTATAAATACTGGACATGTTGATATACTACAAACATTTATACACCTTTCAAATAAATATTAACTTAATCCAGGTCACTGAAATGAAACTATATTAAAATTACTGTTTCAACATGAGCTTTATAGTTTTTAAGCCATTTACTCAAATGCTATTGTGTTTAATTTTCTTAGCATCTTCCAGGCCCCAGTCTACAGTCTGGCAAGCACTGCAAAATACACCCTGGAGAGAGATGCTTACATTTTTTAAAATCAATGCTATTTGTGTTTGAAACTCTTTCAGCTTCTTCTTGGCAACACTACAAGCAAATATGTATTTGCTATACATAAAATAAGTTTCAGATTCAAAATTAGTCTTCATAGAAACCTCATTAAACAATCTGCAAGAAGGTCAGGAGACTAAATTCACCAGTGTAATGGTGAACTATAAGTCATTTTCGTAGGACAGCTCTATGATCTCCTAGTGACACACAGGGATGACAGAAAACTAGAACTTACAGGTCTTCCTAATGTAACAGGAGGAAAAAAAAATTAACAAACAGCATCCATATATCCTTAAATCTAGAAATGGAACAACAAGAAATGTTAAACCAAACCTATACAGCTAGTATTAGCTACTGGAAATAACATTGCCATAAGGAATATCTTGTTTGTGGTAAAGGTGAAATTTTTTGCTTACTTTTTTTTTTGTTTGTTTGTTTACAGTCTCACCTAGGAGGCTACTATTCCTATAGCAAAGTAAACTTTCAGAGCACACACTACTCACCTTCTCCTCAAAAGAAAACCACTGGTTATCAAGTCATAAACCTTTCTCTCAAGCATGGGGTAGATCCTCTACTAGTATTACTTGTTAGGGCTTCATTATCTGCAAGTGAAATCAATTGAACAGAAAATGAGCACCACTCAAAGAGTGTTCCCTCCTCCCTCTATGGCAGGTTCAGTGCAAGGTCTGATACGATATGTTGTGCCTCTTTGGCTAATAATCATCAGCTCACCTGATGATTTTTAATGGGGGGAAACAGCAAGGTCTACAAGGAATGTTTGAGACAGACACATGAAACACACCCTCGAGAACAACTCCCAGTGAAAATACAAGTTCACCTCTTCAGAGAAAAGCTCATTAAAAACTGGCAGATCTCAGTGGTTTTATTGCAAACCAATCAGCCTGAACCTGTAAAGGAGTCTGACCTCACCCAGATTCATGGGTCCTCTATTTTTGACTTTACCTGCTAGTGATAAGAATTGATTTCAAAGGTTCTAAAATTAGCTCTGTACATCAAAGTATTGTTATAACATGTCTCAGTAATGTTGCAGTTTTACACGTTTTGCTGTTCTGCGTGTGTTCTCTAATTGGAAAAGTGTAACCCTTAAATCCAGGAATTGGTGACTGAGTTAACTTTCCTCCTGGAGGAGTACTTGAAAATTGACTTCCTCATAAGTGAGGTTGTTTCCCAGGGATGCAGGTGGAAACTGAAGTGCAGTTCTCATAAAGTTAACAAGGTCACTTTGCTGTGCTCAGGCCTCATGTAATTTAAGTCACCTATTGCCAATGAAGGCAGGTAACACTCTCTACCGTTACAGATCAGCCCTTCTAAAGCAGAGCCAGTGATCTTTTGCAGTTTTAACCCACTGAAAACTGCCCCATGGATGAAAACTGCCCCAAATAATCACAAATAGAAAAGATTTAAAAAATGTAAATACTCACACAGCAGAATGATAAAATGAATGTGTATGGTATGGTGGGAAAAAAACTACTGTATTATGTAAAAATAATTCTGTGCTTTTCTATTTAAGTCTTTGATACTGAAAGATCTAATTATACTTATAACTGTATCTATATCAATACAGGCAGACAACATCAAACTCACAGACATCATGCTAAGTTACTAATCAAGCAAGAGGGCACCCCTATGTCTTGTTTTTATCTTTAACACCTTTTAGCTTCTTTTCCTCACACTTTTACCCTCTCTGCTTTTAGGCTGGAAGAAACTGTGAAGCGGTAAAAAGAGTTTGTGCTCATAAAGCTTTGATGACTCGACCATCTGGCTGGGAACTCTCATAAAGGAAGCCCTGCAGAGGTTAGGAAGGTCAGAAACTATACAAGGCAGGGGCTGAAGTGGGTCCTGACTCTGCTCTAACTGGACCCCAACTTCTGTCCGATCGGACATCAGCTGCGCTCATCAGCCTCCAAGGAAATGTATTTGCATGGACTGCTGACAAACATTACTTCTTTCTCTTGCTCACTTTCATAAATCTATGGAAACATGAAGAAAATGTCTCTGCCCATATCCCGTTGTAATCGCTTCCATCCTCTCCCAGTGCTCAGCTCATTAACAAGTGACCTGAAGGCAGGGAAAAAAAAACTTTCGTATAATGGAGCCTTGCTGTTTAGAGACTATAAAAATAAGCAGGCCTGGTTCACTTAAAAAAAAAAAAAAAGAAGAAGAAAAAGTACAAAACTATTCTGGCAAACGCTTAAGACTATCAGATTATAAAAGTTAGCTAAATGATGGGTAGCTGGATAAGACAATCTTGCATTTGCGAATTATTTTTCCCTTCCTGAAATGTCATCCAGAGACACAACTGTTTACACTGCAGTTGTTCTACACGCCCATAGAGCAATGTATTTACATACAATGTATGTACATATATGTACATATAGTTTTCTGCTGTACAGATTGCCCTGGCAGCAGATAAGTGCCCAGCATCAGGTTTATGAATTGCAGGCTTCGTTAGTCTTAAAATGGTAACAAAGGAAGATGCGTCCTAAAATGTGTCATCCTTCATCTGGGAGGGTAGTGCCTGACACATTAGGAATCTATATGCTCAATTAACCACTGGCAGGCTCATTTTTTCTGTGCCTCTCACTCACCCTTTCCCCCCACCCCTTCTACCCACTCCACCCTTCTTTCTGACCAAATTCCTGACTACATGCAAACACACAATTACAGGATGGCTTGAGGGATTACTTTTGGCCGTTGCTTGTTTTCTCTATACCAGTTTCCAGTGAATAGCCAAAGAATCTTATTATGGTGTTTCGCTTTTGATTGCAAAAAATGAATACGTTCAGATCCTTTGCCACTAAAAGTTAGTTCACAAATTCAAAATCTATCTCTGAAATTAATACATTTTGGTGATTAAACTTTAATTTGTATTCATAGCCCCTATGATCCAGATTAGTTTTGGAGAAAACAAAGTTATATATTTTCTTTTCCATAAAAAGGATATTTTTTATCAATTTGAGATTAATTTGTGAATTCAACATTTGAGTCTATGTCTTTTTGTTATTATTTAAAGTATATCCTTAATTACACAGGCAGCCTTCCAGAAACACTTCAAACGGTGACAATTTTGGATGGGAGAAATAACTAAAGGGGAAAAAAAAAAGGAGAGAGGAAAAGTTAACAGGTAGGAAACATAGCCAATCAGAAAACAAAGCTAGCGTCCTAAATGGTTAATCCCCCATAACTATTAGCGTACACATGATTAACTGTATAGTAGACCTGATTAAGTGTGTCTGTACATTATGCTAATCCCTGCACTCTGATTGGCTGACCTGATTAATGGTACACTAGACTCTGTTCAGTGATGGAAGGCCGATCTGCCAGGTCTCACATCCTCTCTGCAAAGAAAGCAGGGGAAAATAAGAGAGCAGTGTACAGCTAGTGCCCTGAAGAGTGGTAAAGAAAAGGAATGTGAGGAAGAAGTCACATTCTTTGTGTCTGAATGCTAAGTTTGAAATATGACGTTTAAGATTGTAATGCTTTTATATTTTTGACTCCTAAAATTAAAGTGCTCCTTTAAAGTTATTCTTAGGTGCAAGTCAGATACCTACTTATTCTAGAGTTTGTCCATGTTTCTTTTTGTGTATCTCCCAGCACCCTTATACATGGGGGCACCTTACACAGGAAAAAACAATCAATCTGTATTAACTGCCCTTAAAAATCTGTCCAAGAAGCTACATAATCACTAGTCTTGTGTTTCTGTATCTATAGTCTCTCCAGATGCATATAATATACTGTTTTCTACCATACTTTTAAAGCAATTCATTCCAATTAGCTTTTAAAGACTGATTCAAAGTATTTCTAAAGTTTTCAAAAAAAGACTCTATTGGTCTTTTTTGGATCAGATGCTCAAGCACCCTAAAGATAAGAGTTTCAAAATGCAATTCATCGATGCCCCGCCTTGTCTGACTGTAAACCAGATGATGCATATTTAGCTATACACTCCAGCCTGTTATTGAGTTATTGACAGCGAAGTCAGCACTCTTATTAAGCTGAAAGGACTTGCTAAATGGTTTCAACAGACACTTAATTTTTAGACAAAGAAGTTAAAATAAACCCATGGCTCATCTTTTTCTCTCTCAGATATATCCTGGTCTACTTGTATTAGGTAGGCCTCTAGTATCTAAAGAGTAAAAATGTGCTCATCAGTGTAACAATGTGAAGTGTCTAGAGACTCTGTATATTGTTAATACACACCATCTGTTCTAGGTCAGGTGTGCAAACTCTTTTAGCCATGTACATTTATCCAGAGCAACTTAAGGAGATTAAACCTCTGGCCTTTGAAGTACTGAATAGTTTTTCTTGAGTTGCTTGAATGAGGTATTCACGTGAGGTCAATCTAGTTAGAATGGGTCACATTTACCCTATGTTCACATCAGCTGCTGTTAGCACAAGTTTTCTCTGTGGTAAAAACTCTAGAATCTGCTCCTATAAGCAAGGTGCCCATAGACACCTAAGGAGTAGGGGCCTGGCAGTGCCGAGAGCAGGGAGCTTGGACTGGGGCATCACACCAATTAGACTGGCAGCGAACTGTGGGATCAGTGCACAGAAACTGAAAAAATCAGAAGAGTTGGGTTGTTAGAGCTCTTCTTGCCCACCCTCAGGTGAATTCTTTCACGGTCCATAACTCAAACCCATGGAAATATGCATTCATTGAACACTGGCAGTACAGATATAAGAGACTGACTCAATCCTGATACTTATTTCTTCATCTTGATGCTAGCCATGACATCATGTCTACAAGCAACTTTTTAAACAAAGACAATCAAGAGAGGAATCAAAAATATGATGAGAAAGCATGTCACACCAAAACAACTTGATATTGGCGAGATATTAGTTAAATAAGCTACATTTTATTGAATAAGCGAAGCTGCTATTCTTAATCACTTATTTAGTTCTGGTAGCTAATTATCACCACTGGAATAATTCCAGGGATATTTATTTTCACTGTTAGTAATAGGTTCCTAAAGCTTTATCTACCTATATAATACACAGGAATAGTAACTGCCTCAGATAAATCTTTCCAAAAAATCCATATACCAAGGACAAAGTTGTACAGAGCCAGCTGACACAAAATGCTTCAGCATAAGGCGTGTCTTAAACAGTCCTGTCGTCGGGAAGCATAGCCTTCCCACATGGCTTAGGTGGAATCCACGTTTTTCTCTTCCGGCAGTCCAATGCCCAGAACCTTCTCCTAAGGGTAATTGTCTACATCTGTGGCTTGAATAGAACAAGCTCATTCTTTTAAAGTGTGGTAGTGATGGAAGTGTGGACGGTGGTAGCAGCATTCTCACTTGTATGCATAACTGGTCCTTTAAAAATGTAAAGTGAAATGCAACATCCTTGAAATAGTTTTGTTTCAACCCACAATTGTTTCTTAAGCGTTGGTAAGCAGCAACCCAGGAAAGACAGAAAGATAGGAAAGTAGATCCTCTTTCACACATATCTTCCCTACTTACACATTTTCCTTTCCACTGTTTTATTAAAGACTCATCTCAGTTAAATGCTCTCATTCAGACATTATATGGCCTGTCTTTTATACTACAAGCTTACAGTTGGAACCTCTTACCTATAATACGGTAGAGACAGGCTCAACTCCCACCAAAGCCTGACAAGTTTAAAGCACATGTCTCTCATCTCTTAAAGGCTAAGTTGTTTGGGGAGGAGTAGAAAAGAGCATCTTTCCTGTGTGTGCTGTGTGACTACACAGCAAATAATCTGCTGGGTCTGCAGAAAGACCAAAGCTGCAGACAACAGCTTCTGTTTAAGTGTGTTCCTCTAGGTGAGATCTGCATTCCAGGGACTTTTGTACCCTGTTAAATGGCTGCTTGGCCTTAGGTGTCAGCCAGGGACCAAGATGCTCAAGTTGCCATCGCTTGGGCTGCATCAGAACTCTTGGCAGGTGAGGAGCTTCCTAAGCGGCTTGTGAGTTCTGATGTCTCCCAGCAGAGTGTCTGGGACCTATTTTTTCACCCAGGCCCTCATCTCGCTTTGGGTGCACCCTTTCTAGTAACAGAAATTTAAAAAAAACTCACCAACCAGAAATATATCCTTGTATCTGTAAGGAATTCTCTCACAATGACAGGGAAGATCCCAATTTAATTTAATGTGGGATAACGTGGGATAAATGGAGCATGCTGTCAGTAAAATTTGATTCCTGTGAATTTCCAACTTCTGTTAAGTAAAGTAATTGCCAATGTCTTACAAAAATGTTTATGCTGATTAGTAGAAATATTTATTAAACATCTCCTGAACTTAAGGAAACAGTAGTTGTGGGCTAACATCCAATGAGATGCAAAGTCTGTTCGTATTTCAGTTTCCTGCTAAAAAGGCTTAACAGTTTGTGACCCTGCTGTTTGTCAGATAAAGGTGCGAAAGTGACATTTTGCAGTGTGAATTTTTGAGGATAGGGTTGATTTATGTCAAAGAAAACAAGCAGATTACTTCTTAATGTGCCTCTGACATGTCTCTGCTTCTGGTTATACAAGCTAAGACATAATTTCCTCTGAGATGTGTGGCACAGAACAGGTGTAACTTGATTTTGAACATGATATTCTGTTGTTTGACACAGAGGGAGAGTTCATGATACAGGAATACATACATGATTTACCATTCTTAAAAATTTCTATCAAGTGGCCAATGCGTTTTGTGCATGACTTGCAATTTGTGCCTGTGTTTAAGTGGGATTGTGTCTTTGTATGGACATAGCAAGTATCTCAGCTGCAGATATGAGAAAAGAGTTCTCAGGAAGTAATTTACTAGAGAAATGTCTCTCTCTACTTCAGAAAGTCACAGGCAGGTGATTAGCTTGCAAAATATATTCATTCAGTGCTTGCACTTCTTGAATGATTAGCTTTTCAAAGTCTTCACTCTGTCGTTTAATCCCAATTATTCAAATTTTAGCTGAGTCCTGTAAGTAGCTTGGCACTCTTCTTTTTGCTGAAGGAAGAGGCACCAACATAGTTCTACTACAAACAAGCAACTATATATGTGTGTACTGAACAAATGTACAGCTGATACTGCAAGTAGTTTTCTGTTAGTATATTTGCTGGTAAAATATGATAATCTAGATTTGCAGCTTTTTAACTGTGTTTTTATTTGTGGCTAAGGAGGTTTAATATGAAGTTTAAAATCAAAGTATTAAGTAAAAATACCAAAACAATTGCTCAGTTAGTCATCTATGTTCATTTCCAAAACTCCACCAGTCCTTCAAAAAAATAAGGTAAGCTAACCACCTCAGAGCCCATCCCAAAGGAATTTCACATGCTTCTGTATTTATGCTGCAGTTTATCACCTACCTACTTCTCCAGTTCTGACTGGAACTTGGAAAAATTGAATTTTTATCTACCCAGTCCTTTGTGAACCAAGGAGAAAAGACAAAGGGATGAAAATTCCAAAGCCAAGGATACCTCACAAAGCATGTCTTCAAGCCAGTGCCCTGCTGTTTGACCTGGGATTCATTTGCTCAAATATTTCAGGTGACTGAGCTGTTGAAGTATCACAGAAAGTGAGAGCTGGGCTTTTAAACAGCTCAAACCCACTTAGCATCAGGGTTTGGAAAATACAAGAAAGAAGCTTGAGAGTAGACAGAAAAGATTAATCAAATCACGTAAAGGCATATTCATGGGTTTATTCTGGTAAAATATGGTCCCTTCCTATACACCCCAAATTATCATGTTAATTTCTACCTGACGTCAGAATCCACATAAGACTTTGAAGGAACATTTTAAAAAAGGATACTCCTCAGGGGCTAAACAGAAAGAATTGAAAAGAACATAAGCTGCCATTAAACTGGCAGCATTTGCTAACAGTTGCATCTGAGATATCACAGTTTCCCTCCAAGCCTCAAATGGGAGCGAGCTGCTTGAAAGCTAAGCAGTGCTTATAAACATTAGACAAGTGATCTAATTGAAAATACAGCCCTCATAACTCCTGTGAAGTCTGAATGAAGAACAAGAGAAGAGGCCAATACTTGAAGAATAAAGACAGGAAGCAGAGCATGTAAGTGGATACAAAATAGAGCAGGTCTGCATTTGGACAGTAGTGGAAAGAGAAGAAGTCTTGTTTGCACTTGAAAACAGAGAGAAGAAGCTACAGAGTCCTCTTCCCCAATGTAATGCTTATACCTCTCACATACTGTAGGCTCTCAGAACTTTGTAACACTAGCAAGAATTTCAGGAGAGGAAAGATAAGAACTGGTGATTTCTGATTGTATGACAAGCAGAATTTCAGACAAAGGAGAGGCATAAAGTACAACAGAGAACCAAGTCAGAAGTAATTCCAAGATTTCTGACCTCAAGATGAGACTCTAACTTAAAGAAACTGATCATAAAATCAG